GCGGCAGCCGCTATAATGGCGGGCGGGAAGAAGAAGAAGTAACATCATATTCCATTGAGGGATTACAATTGTCATCATATTGACTGGTTTCTACAAAACCAATTTGTGCTGACTTGCCAGTTGTAATGCTATACCCACAGTAAGTGAAGGTCATCGCCGAGCCGAAGAGGAGACCACAACTAGAAGTAGTTTATACAACGATGATCATCTCCAACCACTTAACCTTCTGGAGCCGATGGCTGACTAAACAGCATCCTTCCCCTCCCGACAATGGCTTCTGAACATCCCTTCCGGTCAGACGACAACAGGCGTCATCTGGGCTACGTAACTCATCAAATGCGCACTGTTGCGAGCGTGTGGTTTTGACTAGCGCAGTTCTTATAGTAGAGCCGTGTGTGGTACACACTGTGTACTACTGTAGTAGTGCTCACTGTACACAGTGTACAACATATAAGTTCTATACGAGGAATAATCTCCTCAAATTTCGGCGACCTCAGACAGAGTATTCTCCATAGGCCCCGTCTACAATCGCGAACGATCTTAATGCTCTGAGTTTGACAAGAAGACCGCCTTAAACCTGCAGTCTCAGACGAAGGAATTGTTGAGAGCAAGTATTAGGGTCGGTCCTCAGCTTCAGCAGATGTGATCTGCGCTCGTATCATCACTCGAAACATTTTAGGCCGGTTCGGGGACCTCATTCGAATCGAAGTTTTCCAACGAACTTGGAACTTGGGAAGCACTCGAGAAGGTCCTCGCAGATGTTTTTCACTCAACATAAGGTCAGCATCAATTGACTGAGTCGGCTCGACTCGGCGGGTCGACAGAGAACGCTGTAGCTACCTTCATGTAACTAGTTGGAGATCAGCTTCTCTGAGTCGTGAGTTTATCAGAACAATCTACAGCACGAACGGGAACTGGATTTCAATTCAACACACAGCCGGTATGGTCGATAATCTCTTATATCCGAGAAAAAAGGCCAAAGGTAACAAAACCGAGTCAGCAAGTCGAATCGACTCGCGAAACAGAATCAAGACTAGTTCTTTGCCACGCGTTCTGAGCTCATAGCTTAATCTTGAACTCCTTATGAATAACATCGATAGAGGGTTTCCAATTGACGAGTGGATGTAACCAAACATGGAGCTGACCTTCTCCGATGAGTTCCAAAGTGAAAAGGTCGTGGTTTTTGGTATTCATCGTGAGGTCAAAGGCGATCGAGATGCCTTGATTATTTGAATCCCCAGTGGTCTCTTCGAAAAGGGCCTCCATCTCGAAGTCGTAGTTGGGCCCGATATGAGCCGTGACGACTTTAGAGATAGGCAAGTTGATTGCATCGTGACCGAAAACATCGCCTTCGACAGTCGCTTTTATCCCGATGTCAGCCGTCCATGTATCAGTTTTCGGGTCGTACTTGCCTCTGCCGTCCCCCACAGTATTAGCCTCTATAGTGACAGAACCGGCGACTGCCCCGCCAAGCTCCTCCT